AGATGGAGCTCTGGGCCAGGCAGTGGTGCCACCTGAGAGCATTCCCTCCTTCCTCACAGGAGCTGCAAAGGCCTTCCTGCCCCCAGTTTCAGGGCAACCAAGACGGAGATGGAAAAATTCGTGCACAAAGCAGCCAGAACTCGATCTCTGAAGTGGTGGAGCGTGTGTGTTACTGCCAGGTGAGATCTGGCAAGTGAATGTTTGTTTTAAATTTCTCTTTAATCACTCTTACAGTTTCAACTTTGAAGTCTAGGGAAGTACATTTTCTGGTTTATGCCTCAGATGACATGGAAAAAGATATTCCACCTCCAGTCCTGGAATATCATTTATAGATGTGCAAATTCATAAAGCTATGCCTCTAACAATTTGCCCATGTGAAACCATCTCAATCTGCAGCAACTGAGAACTTGTGAAAAATAAAAGAATTTTTAAAAATTGAGGCATTTATTTTATTATAATTACCCCAGAATTTCAGATCTAGCTAAATCCAGGTTATGTGCAAAAGAAGGGCTGGAAGGACAGGGAGAAGCTGAACACACACACCTTTGGAAAAATATTTAAAGAAATAATGACAAAAGATGGCAAGATTTGGAGTGGTGCAAGAGAATGCAGATTTATTTGAGCTCTGATTTTCTACTACAGATGTTCTGCTAACTGGAGCAGAGATGTTCAGAGACCACATATTGGCTGTAAAATTCTAAGACTGAGATTAATTAAATGTCTGCTGCTCTCATATAAACTACACTTGAGAGTTTTTCAGGCCTTCTACTCCTCTGAAGGAACAGCTGTAGAATACATCACATGTATTTCTTGCACCCTTAAAATGTATTTTTTATAACAAGTGTCAATTTTTTACAAGAAAAGTTTAACATTTTACCCTTCCTCTGATTATCTTGCTGCTGTTCAGAAAATAAAAAGGATAAGGGTCTGATGGTTACTTTACTAACATGTGATACTTCCTGCAGAGCACTGCCCCCACCCAACACATGTTTTTAAACAAAAATCATGGTAGGTTCAATGGTCACAATTATTCACTTGTGTTATGGCTTATGTGAGTCCATTTCTTGCAGCAGTTGTTGGAAGGTGAGGACCCCATTCCAGCCTATTCTCCAGGTTAATGCCTGAAAATGTAAGAAATACAGTTTGTCATTTGCACCTCCTCCTCCTCCTGACTGGACAATCCCACTGCTTCTTTTGATCCATCAGCTCACCCCTCCCCTGCATACCTGTAAGACATGTACATTTATTACAGTATATGTTTCTATTACATGATATTTTTATTTATGTTTAATCTTGGAGAAATCTCTTTTCCTCCTCCATGAGGTATCAACAATTTGATTTCTAGCCAGGCCTCAGACTGTTTCCTATTTTAATTTGATATGGTACCCACAAATTCTTGTGTTGTTACAGTAAAACAATACAGTAAAACAATAGAGTATTTTAAAAGTGCCCAATCCACTTTAACTCCATACCCCTTACAGCTGCCTCCCCAGAAGGCAGAAAAAATAAGCTGATATTAAATGCAAAATTTTCAGCCTGCTGGAACTGTTATAACCCTGATCCACAGCTTGCACATGCCACTTATAAAAACACAACTCCAAAGCAAAGGCTCCTTCTTTGCTCCCTTGAAGATCTCAACAAGAAGCAAGTAAAACATTTTACCTTAAAGCCACAGTTGTTCACACCAAAACCACTTGCATTCCTGACCAAATATGACTGCTTTAAGTTCATGGTTTTGTTTAAACTGAAGAGCCTGGCCGGTTACAACAGCTATGGGTGGTGGACAAATGCAGGAGTGGCTTATGAAGGGCACAAAGGTACAACCTGGCTAATGCCATGCAAGGAACAGCCTGTGTCTTCCTTGGGAAAATACTTTCTGATTGTTTTTCTGAGGTAGCTGTTACTTGGCCTTCAAATAAATAATTGAAGGCCTGTAAAAACTTTGTTCTGGACTCCTTGGAAATGCCAACTATGGAAATGGGAGAGGGCAAGGATGCAGAAGTTACTTCAGTCTCCAGCAGCACCCGGCTCCCAGCACATCCGGTGAGACTGGCAGGAAGGATGCACCAATAATGGTGGTGTTTTCTTATTTGTCAACCACAAATCCATTTCAGTATCAACAAGCAAGTTACACTCACTCAAAACAGCTGTCAGAAGGGCTCCATCTGAGTGAGTTTTCACAGCAGCCAAGCCATAGAAAGACACATGGTCTGAAAAAATGGGCAATGCTGCAAATGTTGCTATCCCAGGGTGGGGGTTAAAGGCTGTATAACTTATTCCAAATGCTGGAATATCTAGTCCCTTCCAGAAGACTAGCCTAAAATATTAATCTTTAAGAATTTTTTGCAAAATTACTTATAATGAGTATTTTATTTACTAGTGAGCCATTTAGAAATAAATTTCTTCAGTGGTTTTAATGCATCACTGAAGGGAAGCTTTAAGATGAGCAGACTTGAGCACTGTAATCATCATGTGTGCATTGTTAAAACTTCTGACTAGACCAACAAACCATGGCCCTGGATACTTCCAGGGATGAAGCACCCACATCTGGGCAGCCTGCTCAAGTGCTCCATCACTCTCAGAATATAATCTTTTTCCAAATATCTAATCTAAACATCCTCACTTTTGATTTGAAGCCATTCCCCCTTGTCCTGTCATTACAGGCTCTTACAAATAATCTTGCTCCATCTTTCCTCCAGGTTCCCTTCAACAACTGGAAGTCTGCATTAGAGCCCCCCAAAGTCTTTTCTCTTCAGGCTGAACAATCTCAGTTTTCTCACCTTTTCCTTGTTAGCAGAGCTGCTCCATCCCTCTGATCATCATCATATTAAAATTTCCTATAGAGTTAGCAGAAGAGAGATCCTCAGGAGGGACAAAGCTGTCCCATGTTAAGAATTGTGTTCCTACAGGTATATTTTTTGAATAGGATCTTACCCAAACCTGGGTCCATTCCTACTATAGCCCTATGTTGATCACAAGCCTATCAAATGATGATTTTTTTTTTTTTTTTGTATTTAGAATGTGTTGAGCAGGCAAATTTCTTGGGTTTGATTCGGCCTCCTTGTAATTTTACAGAACAAATGTTACTTCCCACAGTAATTGCCATCTTCCCTGTGCAATGACTTAGAAAATACCAAAACAATGAAAACTGAACAGAATTATTTTAATTTCCAAGAAGGAGGAGTTCAATTAATGGTGAAAACAGGTGCTGCTGGGTGGGACATCCCTGCTGGGCCCTGACTGATAGGCAGATCTTTGATTTGTGGTTTTCTAACCCCTTCTAATGTGCCTGAGCATTGAAAAAGAGGTGATGTAAAACAGGACCCTTCTATCAAAAACTGGGAGGACACCTGGATAAAATCATTACCAACTTTTCCAGTATCTCCATATCTCTCAAGCTCCTTATTCATGTGAGTGTTTATAATGCTTAGAGCAAAGTTTCTTATGTGACTAAAACACTATAGGATCAGGAATCCCCTGCTACCCAGGCTGTAATCTGCAGGATCCTAAAGGGTTTCATGGAAAAACTCAGGGGTGAAACACAACTTTAATGACAGCTTGTAGCTCCCAGAGACTCCAGAGGATTGCATCTTCTTTCATCAGGATTGAATTTGATCCAAAGTGTATAAGACTTGTGTTGTGCCTCAAAGCTAATTGAGGATTTGTGTCTCTCTGTCTCTCAGAAGGGAAAGGTCAGCCTTGAGATTTCCAGGTCAGAACTGCTTGACAAGGATTTAGTGTCATCCACAACTTGAGACATGCTAACCGGATTTCTTGTTTAAAGGCAGTGGTCTAACTGTGAAAAGAGGCTAAGAGGGCAAAACTGCGAGGAAAGAGATGATTCATTCCAGTGATTTATCCTTACACTTCCAGGCTCTCAGAATAAAAGATGTTCTCAGCACTGCTGTGCTGAGTTATTGCAGTTTAGAGATGTAAACAGGACAGATTTCCTAATCTGTGGGGTTATTTGTACAAAATAATTTGTACCTTCCTGGAAAGCCTGGATCCTTGCTTGGTGTAACAGAGCAGCCCAGCCAACTTCTTCTGTCACTTGGGAAATCAAAGACAACTCCAGAGATGAGCAGTGGGACACACCATTTAATTATCACCAGCCTATCTAAGCATTCCTGTTTTTCCAAGATTATATGGCTGGACAGTTGGAATTAGGCTGTAGCCTGGGAGAACATTACACTGGCCTCTTGTGCACCATATCCCCTTTCATTGACAAACTAACACTTCTTTAATGAGATGTGCTGAGGTTGTTATCCAGAATACGTTCCTTATCCCAGATCTCATCTCTAGCACCTCTCCCAGGGGTATCTGGGAGTTTGGACCCAGACATGTTTGCAGATCCAGGACTCGATCAGGTCCCAGTGAAGTCAATAAAAGTATTGCTGGTGCTGAGCAGACATGCATTAGGCTCAAAGGAAAAGTAAAACTCATCCAAGAAAATTACAGGTTCTTTTTTCAGTCAAAATATGCCTTCTCTCTCTTTAATTTTTTTCTGCTGTTTTAACTTTATAATGAGTTTAAGTAACTGAGAAAATGTTTAAATTTTTAACTGTTGAATAGTCCTGGCCCAATGCCCAAAAAGTTAATGTGACCTTTCCTAATACATGCCTCTTATTAATTTTGAAACTCACTGACTCCAGTCAAGAATTTTTGGGGATGATAGAACACTGAAATGTAGAAAAAAAATACCAGGAGGTTGAGAAGTGAACTGTAGTTCACATGCATCACCATTTCCAGAAAAATGGAAAAAGAAGAATGAACACTTGCAAAACTTTGGTGAGTTAAATGTTTCATAAGCACAACTTCAGGGTTATGTTACTGCAATTATTTACACAGGAATATTAATTTTTGAAGCTTTTGTGCTTTCAGTTAAGCTGTTCCTTAGAGAAATGGTGGACTTGCAAAGCAGTCCCTGGAAGCTACAGGGGCAGGTCTGTGCATCCCACCACCCACCCCGACCCTGCCAAGCATTACAGGTATGCACATCATTTTCTTCCAGGGTGGTCAGAGGTTTATTTGCTGCTTGGAGAGGAGAGGAAAGGATGGGGATGAGCTTGGAGACCTGCATCCTTGTGCAGTCCTGCAGCCAGGGAGCACCTGTTCCTGGCACTGTCCTGGGATGTGGAGAGGAAACAGGGGATAAATAAGCACTTTTGTTTGTCGGTGTGGAGTCTGGACCTCAGCAGGGGGAAATCAGTCGGAATCCTCAGGGGACCCCTTGCTCTCACCTTCCCAGAGCCGCTCCAGCCCAGGGAACGGGGCGTTTGCCATCGGCAGGGAACGGGGCATTTGCCATCTCTGCCCGTTCCATCGGCAGTGCTAAGGTGCAAAGGTGACTGCGGTCACCTGTCCCTGCTGGAGCCCCAAGCAGGGGGTGGCAGACGAGGGGACGGGGCCAGCGGCTCTGTGTGACAGCGGGGGGATGATCTAAGGGTCCGAAGCCATGCCGAAGGTCAGAGCAAGCATCGCCTCCTCCCCGCCCACCCTGCCGCCGGGCTCGGGGCAGCACGGCCCGCGGCGGTGGATGGCAGCTTGCGGCACTCGGTGACAGCCTGGCTGCAGACAAAGACGGCAAGTTCGGCGCTGCCGGGGCAGGAGCCGGGGCCGAGCGGGGACACGGCGGCACCCGGGGGCTCCATCAGCCCGGCAGAGCCGCGGCCGTCCCTCGCTGGCTCCGGAGCCAGGCACAGACCTCTCCTCCTCCTCCTCGTCCTCCCCGAGCCCTGCGAGCCGCAGCCCCGGCAGGACGCGAGGTAAGCGCGGCTCCGGCCGCGGGCACATCCCGAGCGCGGCGCTGCGGCTGCCGGCGGTCCGGGGCACCCCTCGCGATTCTCACACACACACAAACATCTCTCTCCTGCCGGTCTCTCTCTGCCGTGCCCCGGCTTCCCCCGGCTCTTCTCCTCTCCTGTCTCCCTCTCTCCCGCTCACTCTCGCTGGTTTTCTCCTCCCCCCGAAGCCGCCGCCCCCCCTCCCCCTTTCCGCCTCCCCTCAAGTTTCTCCTTCTGTCTGATTAAATGAGAAGGAAGTGTGGGAGTGGTGGTTTTGAAGCTCTCCCTTTAAGAGGCAGCCTGCAGTGACGAATTGTTGAAATTGCCATTGCAGGATGGCATTCCGCTATAAATTCATTGTTCCACCTCCTCTCATCTTCACATTTCTCTCCCTTCTCCTCTTGTTCACATCGGCAGACTGGGGATAACAACAACAACAACAGGAAAGATACAGGGAGGGGGCTTTTACAGAAATCCAGGACGTTTTCCGCTTCTTGGGCTTCTTTTCTTTTTTTTCTTTTTTTTTTTTTTTTCATTTTTAACCATCTCACCGGAGACGATCGAGGCGGTTTTGGGTGCCTGAATTTCTTCTCTCCCCTTCTCCTCCTTCTCTTCAAAACTAAAGAGGGCAAAAGAAGGAAAGGAGCCCACCGGAGCCCGAGAAAGTGCCGAGTCGCAGCAGACCTGCCCCTGCTGCTGCTGGTGATGATCCGGTGACTACAGCAGAGAAGTGGAAGAGGAGTGGGAAGTGCTCAAACTTCTCGACTTGCCGGCTCCGAGCCGTCTCTCCTCCTTTTCCTCTCTCCTCACTCTGCCTCCCCGGCAGCAGTGATTTGGGATTTTTTTTTTTTTTTTTTTTTTTTTTTTACCGCTTTCTCTCTCTCTCTCCCCCCTTCCATGTGCGCCCGGCTCTTCCCTGCAGAGAAACACAAAAGTTCACACGCGAACTGCTTTTGTTGACATTTTTTTTCTCTCCCACTCACACTTGACTTCGGGAGGGAGAACTTTTTTTCCTTATTTTTATTTTTTTGTTTGTTGTTGTCGTTCCTTTTTTTTTTTTTTCTTTTTTTTTTCTCCCTTCCCCGCACCTCTCCTTTTCCTCCCATCCCTCAACTACGCTGCCCCGCTCCGCCGGCCGGCTCCCGTTATTACCATCATTATCACCACCACAATTGCCATTGCCGCCGCCCCGCTGCCCCGCGCCGAGGCGAGGATGCTGCCGGCGCTGCTGTGGCTGCTGCTGGCCGCCCGTGCCGGCCGCGCCGCGCCGCCGCCGCCCGCACCTGCCGAGCCCGGCGCGCCGCCCGCCCGGCCCCCCGCCCCCGGGCCGCCCCGCGGGGCCGTGCGGCGCCTCGACCCGACCTACGCGGGGGGCGGCAGGGCGGGCTACGTGCTCTACGCCGGGGGACAGCGCTTCCTGCTCGACCTGGAGCGCGACGGGCCGCGCTGCCACTACCGCGGCACGGTGGACGGCAGCCCGCGCTCGCTCGCCGTCTTCAACCTCTGCGGCGGCCTCGACGGCTTCTTCGCCGTGGGCCGCTCCCGCTACACCGTGCGCCCGGCGCGCCGCGGGCCGCGCGGGGAGGCCGCGGCGCGGATCTACGGCGAGGGCCCGGCCCGCGCCCCTCACGTCTTCCGCAGGGAGAGCTTCAGCTTCGAGACGGTGCCGGCCCGCACCAGCTGCGAGACCCGGGACCCCGCCAGGCCGGCGGGCGGGGACGGGCGGCGGCGGCGGCGGCGGCGCTCCGTGTCCCGGGCCCGGCAGGTGGAGCTGCTGCTGGTGGCCGACGCCTCCATGGTGCGCAAGTACGGGAAGGGGCTGCAGCACTACCTGCTCACCCTGGCCTCCATCGCCTCCCGGCTCTACGCGCACGCCAGCCTGGAGAACCACGTGCGGCTGGCCGTGGTGAAGGTGGTGGCGCTGGGCGACAAGGAGAAGGGGCTGGAGGTCAACAGGAACGCAGCCACCACGCTCAAGAACTTCTGCAAGTGGCAGCACCAGCACAACCGCCTCGACGATGACCACGAGGAGCACTACGATGCCGCCATCCTGTTCACCCGCGAGGTAGGCATGGCCCTGGCCGTGGGCATGGCCGTGACAGCGACGAGGTGTCCCTCGAGCCTGGGCTCCTGCCCGGCTTTGCCCGGTGATTGCCGCCCCGCTCATGGATCCGGCTCGTCCGTCGGGCAGTGCAGCATCTCGGGGACCGGCACCCACTGCCGGGAATGGCAGAGCGCTTGAGATCTGTCTATGTCCCCTGCCCTGCGCTGTCACCCCCGCCGTGGGTTCACCAGTGCAGTGTTGAGACCCCAGCCCGGTGGAAAGGTGGGAACTTTGATCGTGTGACTCAGCCCGATGTCCCTTTGCTTCAGCCTTGGTCCTGTCTGTTCCTGTGAGATGTTTGACACGGTGGTCCAGTCGGGAAGGGCTGATAGCACCTCCTAGCCTAAATGAGTCCCCAAACAAAGCTGCTAGGGAAAGTGGTGGAGAGCACCTTAAGAGCACAGACGTCTTGCTTGTGGAGCACATCGGGACGCTGTTTCCAGCAAGGATAGCTCCGCCGCGCTGGAAGCCAGCAGCGCTTGCGGTTCAGGTGTAGGACGTAAGCGCAGACCGCAGGTAAACAGGGCTGCGCAAGCTGAGTGAGCTGGGCAGGTTGGTGGCAAGGGGCTGCAGTCCCTGGCCTGTCCCCCGAGAGGATGCCCTGATCTGCTGTGGGTTGGATCTGCTTGTGCTGCCCATGCAGAGCCGTGCCTTGTTGCTCCACGCTGGGTTGTTGATTAATTACATTGCCAGAGGTCGTTAAGGGACATTGCTCTGGTAGACATGTGGCCGAGTTTATGCAATGAAGTTCTGTAAGAATATCCCTTCAGCGGTTTGGGTTTGGTGTTTTCTTTTTTTCCCTTTCCCCAAGTACGAAAAAAATAACTGCATGACTTTCCGTTCATTTGAGTTCTTCGGCTTTGCTACATCGTAGGAGCCTGCCAAAAAGGATGCTTTGGATGGTTTGTGGAAGGAGTTGCTCCAGAAGGGGGAAAAAAAGCGCCTGGCTTGCTTTTATGGCTGTAAATAGTTGAAACATTAGGTCCTGTGTCAGGCATCACTTGTACAACAGGAGCCCTTTTTAGCAGTTTAAAGCCCATCAGTGCAATTTGCGAGCTTTCATTTTTTTAATCACTATAACCTGAATGAAAGCAGGCTACCTAGACTAGGTCAGAATGGTTTTGGGTTTGCTATAAACATCTTTTCTAATGGCTTATTCAGCCTGGGCCAGAATCCATAACTTCTCTCTGAAGAGTGTTTCTCTCTTGCCAGTATTCCCACTTATTTCCCTGGGCTATATGACAATTCTGAAACTAGTGTGGGGACTGTGGACCTTAACGTCAATTATTAAGTTAATTTGGACTGAGATAGTATGTGACTTTGAAGTGCAGTTGCTTTACAGATGCTTAGCTGTAATTCTTTGCATGGACACCCTCCTGCCAGAATAAGAGGGTGCTGCTAATCAGTAATCCACTTTCAAAGACTCATGAGCAATGCATAGAATTATCTCTCTAGGATGTAAATAGTGCATAGAATAAATAAATCACCACGGTTCCTGTGGTCTCCTTCCACTCTTAAGATGCAAATGTTGCTTGCACTGCTGCCGAGGGCTGCTTCATGAGGAAAAAAACACAGGCTTGTGTTTTCTTGGTTTACATTTTAACAGCTTTAACTCTGGGATTAGCTGCTCGATGCAGTTCAGGACAACTTAATCTGCTTTAATACTTTGCTGTGTGCACACGGACATTGTTTGGCAGTGTTTGATTGAATTAAGAACCAGACTGGAGTTTCTTGCTACATATGTTCATGATGTTCTTTGCAGAGAGTGTGTGTGAGCCCACACGATTTTTATGTGCTTACCCTTGAAATGTCAACATGAATCTATTTGCTCCCTGTGGAATGTAAACACGAAAAGGGTTAAAGGATGAAAAAGCGGTGGAGATGTTTCCTGGAGAAAACAGCCCCGCTTTGAACTAAAGGAGAGATTTTTTCCAGTTTAGCTTTTCAATGAGAGTGGCAGCAGTTGGCAGGAGAGCGCCGCTTTTACAACTCTGTTTTGGATGGATGAAGTTGGTTGCTAAGCTACAAGACGCCGAGCCGTGGCTGCGTGTTTTGATGGGCTCTGAATATCGTCATGCTGATTTTTGAACATCCAGATGTCTCTTTCTAAGTGCCTTGGGTTTCAGGCATTGGGCAAAAGTGTGAGGTACTTTTTCCATCGTTGTTTACTAACTGAGGCCTCCTTGAGCTTCGTCAACAGAATAATATTTGCAGATCGTTTGTCAGCTGAATGCGTGGCCTCAGCTGTATGGAATTGGCTTTGTGTAGATAGAATCTGCATTGTGCGTGGCTGGTGCCATACAAATCCCTAATATAATAATTATCTTTGTTCCAGAGTGACATTTCATTGGATGTTATTTTTTTACACCAAAAGAGGGCTTTATTTGAGTTCCTATATGCAGGAAGAATCCTGACAGAATTCAGCAGTGTTGCTTCATCCTCTTTGGTTGTCTTTACTTCTTTAAAAATATATATTAGTAACCATTTATAGATTGAGACTGCATTGGCAGCTCTCCTTTATTATTAAATTAGTAGTGGTTCACATTATATTATATAAGTTCAAATTATGATTGTGATCATCATCATCATACTAGGAAGTACTTCCTGTAAAAAAATTTAGAAGGAAATTCACTGATTCTGAGTTAAAACAGCCGCTTACTTCTGGTCATAATCTCTATTTAATTGGATAAGGGCTTTAAAGCAATTATCCTGCAGATCACAGTGAATCAATATGAACATGAATTCAGTTTAGAGTGATACAGGCAACATCTTAAAGCTGTTTTTAGGCTTTGTGTTGCTTATCAGTAATGGCAAGGGTCCATTAGCTGCAGTGGGTCCTCTGTTTACTCTGTAAATGCAAGGATCACTAGAGTTACATGTCTGGCCATTGTGAAAACCTTAAGTGGACACAGAAATCATCTGTCACTAAATATTGAAGAAATTTAGTTGGGTTCCACAGTGATTTTTTTCAGTCTGATAATGAGAAGTGTATTTTCCCAGTGGTTGCCATCTGTCTTTTTGACTCATGAGGAGCAGGATGAAGCATGGCAGAGGTCTGACTCGACAGTAACCAAATGTGATAATTTTCTGATATTTCTAAATTTCCTCAAGGCAGCTTGACCATAACAGTCTTAGAGAGTACATGGGTCCCCTGCTGTTGGACTACGTTGTGGTTGAGTCCTTGCCAGCAGCTGTAAATCTTTGGGCCCGTGAATCCTAGAGCATCCTCCATGGAATATGGTGGTGCAAGGATGCAATTCTGGTAGCCAGGTGAGTCTTCTCCACTTTGTAGAGAAGAGGCTGTGTGGTGGGGAGGAGGGAGGAAGTGCTTGCAAAGCCCGCTTTCCCTGGAGATTAGATCACTTGTTGTCCATGGCAGTGAAGTCAACAGCAAATTTAGAATTTAGTGTTTCATCACTTGTTCTCAGTGGCAGTGAAGTCAACAGCAAATTTAGAGTTATTCTGTTTCAGCCTTTTTCATCATGAGCAGTTTGCTGGAGCTGGAAGCAGATTATTTTCAGATTTTTATGGGTGCAACAAAACACTTGCAAGATTGTTTGCCACAGTAGCAAAACAGATTAGATAGACTTGCAAACTGCAGTTGAACTCACACTGTTCTTTTTCTGAGGTCCAACCTGCTCTGCAATTATCCTCTAGAATCCATCCAGTCTATTTCATTAGTGGCCCTTAGTTAAATTTTAAGTGAACTATTGAATGCATTTGGACAAAATCCAGCTCTCTTCCTCTCCCCCCAGTTCTGAATCATCTGAAGATTAAAATAGATGTTTCTCACAGTAGATACAGACATTAGGAGCAAGAAAAAAATCCTTTCCTAAGTGCTTGTTAGCATCATCTGTGATAGTACCATCATGCCTGGCTCGAGCAAAGGGTTCATGCTAGAGCCAAAGGCCACTGTCCTGCCTTTTTCTACACAGTCATTATATGGGGCTGGTGTGTTTGATTTAGTTTAACTGTCCATCTGGCAGTGCTGTTGAAATTTAACAGCAAGCTTTGTATTATCTTAGCTCTGTAGATGATAATTTCACTGCACAGAGCACATGCTTTCTTTGGCTCTACTTCTTTCCTTCTCATATTTTTTTCTTTTCTCTGTTATCATCTCCCAACAACTATTATTCCCTAGCAGTAAAACAAGTCACTGTACCGATGGTCAGTACAATAGATTTCACTGTTAATTATTATTAATCTGAAGAAATTGTAGTGTGATGTGTATACCAGTTTCATAGTGTTTTCACCAACTTTGTTGCACATCAGATACATTTAAATAATGTCCCTAGGAAAAACAAAGTGGGACATAACTGATAGAGGAGAAGTTTGAATTACCCTCATCTGGAGAGATGGTGTGGAGTTTTCCCACAAAGGAACTGTGGCTTAAGCAGGTTAAATCACACATTTTTTCTTGATCATCACTCACCAGTTTCATAACTGAAACTTCTCCTCCCCTTGCAACTCCTCCTTCCAAATGCTTTATGTGCATTTTGTCAGTATTTTTAAATAACCTGTAGTTTGCATAACTGCTGTGGGTTGGTATTTTTTTTTTTTTTTCAAATGCTGAAGCCCCAGGCTCATATTTATCATATAAACCCCAAAAGCAAATCACCTCAGTTTTTAAGCTAAACACTGGGGAAATTACATTTGGGTTTTGTTTTGGCAGGTATCACCATTGTGGTTTTCCTCAGAAGGTAACCAGGCTTTGGCCACCCTCTCAAAATAATGGCCAGGGGAGGACAGAGCAGTAGCCCAATGAGCCTTTCCTCACCCAGGATCCTTTCTGCTCATGTGAACATGACATTTTAAACCACGTGTGCCATTCCAGGTTGCTGTGACATCAATGAAAGTTCACCCACTTTGCAGAGGAGCTCGTGGGAGGGTGGATGTGTGTGTTCCTAACACCACCTCACCCCACCCTCCCTGCCCAGGCCTGCGGTGGGAACGCTGCTGCAGGAAGTTGGAAAGTCGTGCTTAATTCCTTCCTCTGCTGCAGGGATTTTAGGTCTGTATGGCCCACCTCCCAGGAGAGGTCCTTAACCAGGAGGTTGTAAGCTGTTCCAGGTGTTAAGGAAACTTTCCACCCCTCTGACCAAAGGTCTGTCACTGTTTAGTGAGTAATTCATACGGTGAGAACGAGAGGAATCGTGACCTGAAGCCGCTGAGTGGAGCACAGCGCTTGGAGCAAGGTGGTCTGGGTTCCTCAAGCACGGAGAGGAACTGTTTCTTGATTTACCACAGGCTGTTCAGTGGGAAAGAAAAGGGATGAGCAGTAGGGAGCAAAAATTGGGTCCCTTCACTGACTGCACTTCAGCTGCAGCCTGGGCTAGGGAAACCTTGGCCTCAGGGGCTGCTCCAGGAGGAGCCACAGCTCCCTGTGAGCTTGGCAGGAGCCTGGTGTAGACCATAAAGTGCTCTCCTAAAAAAGATGTTTCTAGTTGGCCTCATCCCTGGAAGAAATTTGTGGTTGGATCACGTTCGTACTGGGGAAAGGCTTGAGCTGATGAGCTGTTGCAAAGGGACCAGAAGAACAAGTGAACAGAATTGTAAAGGTTTTATCTGTGCTTTACAAGATGGTGATGTGCAGCTTGGCCTGCACAAAGCCTCATCCTGTGGGTTCCTCTCATTCTGGTCTGAGAAGCTCTGTGGTGTCGGCTTCCCTCAGGGCAAGAGGGGGAGAAACATCTGAATGAAACATCTGAACCCCAATAAGCTGAGTGCCCAGCCGTTCCAGACTGTGGAATTGTGGCACTTTGGGATCCCACAGGATCCCAAAGTACAAGCCCTGTGAGGGGTAGATAACTCAAAAGACCCGAGGACATGTTTTTCTGTCCTTAAATCCCACCAAAGTGTCCACGTTGGTGCTCGCATTGTGTTTTGGATCTGGTCAGCAGGCTCTGACCCAATACCAGGTTTCACTAAACAGTTATTCTTGTTTTAAAACCTACTGTAGAACACATTTCAGGTGAAATGAACTCCCGGCTCCAGCCAGGACATGGTGGCAGTTACCTACCTCCCTTCACAACAAGGCCATGTATACATGGCAGCCAGCCAGCTGTTCCTGATGGATTTAGGATGCCAAGACAACTTGGCCTCTAATGAGCTGTCTAATTAACTACTAGACTTGTGATGTACACCTTAGTTTTACTAAGCCTTTGCCAAAGTTTAAGTCTTAACATCTCTTGCCTCTTGCACAGCAAATGCATTTCCTTGTCATTCTTATGTTTTGAAACTACTGTAAAGTAAATCAAGGGCCGAGCTGCTTTCCTTCTTTAGAAATATCAAAAAACATTCTTTTACACTTTCCACTGTTTCAAGGCAGTTGAGCATCCAGATCTGAGTAGCTGATTATTAAGTTTCTAGTAGAATCAAAAAAGTCCAGAGTGAAGTAATCATTAGAAACTGATTTTATGTATCACGAGTCCTCTCTTTCCTCGTGCTTTATTCAGAGTATGAAAAGTTGAGGCTACCCACACAGATTTTTTTAAGATTGCATCATTACATTGAACATTTAACAAAAAGTTAAAATATTTTCCAGGGAAATAAAACCTTCTACTGTACTCCCAGAACGTGTACTTCATGAAAGTAGTAGACGGCTTTCCAAGACTGCCCAGGAAAGCAAAAAACAAATGTAACTATTGATTCTGGTAATGACTTATCCATAGCCACTGTTTGATGGCTAAGCAGGAATGATTTTCAGTAACATCACTTGAAGTCAAACTGTTTGGAAGCTGGTATTGGTGAGTTGACCCAAAAGGAAACCTTTCAGAATATTTGTCTCAGAGATGCCACTTGAAAGGCTGCAGTTCTGGTTTTAGTATGTACTGTGAATAGAAAGATGCTCCAGTTCAAATCATACAGAGGCAGGAGAAGCAAAGCAGTGAATGAGACAATGACAACATAGAGGAGCCCTCAGTAATCTGCCTAAATGATTATTGATAATGTCAGCCTTGGCTGCATATGAGCATCCTTCAGGCAGCCACCGAGGGCTGGAATTGGCAGGGAAAGCCAGGATGCTCAATCCATGCTCTGCTCAAAGCACAGCCATGGCATGCCCTGCTCTAGCAACAGATGGGCAACCCACAGACATCCCCATAACAGCTTCTGACAAAGGAGCTGATGCCAGAAAATATTTCCTGACCTTGTTTCCAGAATCCTTGACAAGCCCCTCTGCTGCTTCCCAGCTGGGATTTGGCAGCGGCCGCAGGACTCCCACACCGGCTGCTGGGGGGCCATAGGGAGGTGGCCACGGGCTTTGCTGGAGCACTGCCCACCACTTTCTGACCCCAGAGTGGGCACTCTTCTCCTTTCTGGGGGTGGCTGGTCCCATGTCATCTGAGGACACCTGTTTGCCAGCTGTCCATGGGGAGCTGGAGGAGCTAGGTGATCTGGCATATCAGCAGTTTGCAGAATCATGTCTTTCCTGCTGTGGGATTTTCTAGGACCAGCCTTGATATCTAGGGAAGACATTGTAATGCAGTCCTGTGCGCAGCTTTTGAAATGCTGAGGTGGGATTATGGTAACATCTCTGCCCTAATGTTCCATGCTCCACACATCCCATCAGAATTAGCTCTGTGGAAGTTTACAAGATTGCCTGCTTAGAAAAATTGTATTTTTTTAGTTACATTTGTGTCATCAAACTTAGTGAATCGTTTTAAAGTCTGGCTGTGTCTGCTGGCGTAAATTCCCAGTGTAGCTGCTTCTTGTGTGCAAATGGGAGTAAATCCTGAGTGGCATGAGGCATTTGGGTGCTGCTGGCATTATTGTGCCACGCTGGAAGCAGCACTGATGTCAGTACCTATGTAATAATGACACCCAAATACAAGAAAAGACTGAGTGACGTAGAATCTGCATGCAGAGACAAAGCCTGAATTAACAGAGTTTATACTGTGTTGGTGCTCTCAACCTGTCTAGCCCTCCTAAGTAAGCTGCTTTCTGTCTGATTCATTTGCTTTTTGGTACCTGTGTGAGAATTCAGTTCAGCTGCTTGTGTGGATTCAGGTCACATTGCTCCATCACAAAAGGACAGGATCAATCATGTTGGAAATAACCTCTGAGACCATTGAGTCCAACCACCTTGTGCTAGACCATATCAAATCCAGTCTTTCCTTAAACACCTCCAGTTTGGGGACTCCACCACCTTGCTGGGTATCCACTTCCAATATCTAATCACCCCCTCTGGGAAGAAATTCTTCCTCAATGTGCAACCGAAACATCAAGCTTAAGACAGTGTCTTCTTGTCCCAGTGACACATTCCTGGAAGTCAAAACTGAGCTAGAAATTTCTCCTCCATATATGTAATACTGATTTATATTTTTAGCTTGAAAATTATCTTTGTTGGGAAAAAAACCACCTTTTTTCTTTCTTTTTGTGTGTTTGTAAAGAGGTGCTCTGTCACAGTATCTGTGCACTTGGTGTGGTTTTCTTTAACTTCAGTGGGATTTGAATCCTGTGCTTTTCCAGGTTTGCCTAACCTGTCATAATCAGTGAACACTGTTGCTCTGAAGCCTCCTACAAGGTGTCTGTTATTCATGTGGATTAATTATGAAAGGCTTCATAAAAGGAAACCCTTGTAGAAAGAGATCTGAAGGGAAGAAGAGAATCTTGAAAATGAAGGGGGAAAGTGCTCTTTGATCATTTTGATAATAACATTTGCCATGCCTTGAAAATGACAATTTCATTCAACCAAAACGAAATGTTGAAGTGTTCCAAGTGGCATGGCCCCTGCTTTTCCTTCTCGTCCAAAAAATGTATATATGCACATGCACACTAATATTCTTCCCTCTGCTTCAACAGAAGCATGGAGAAATTACTGCTGGTGAGAAAAACACAATGTCTGACCAAAGCTGAAAGACAAAACCTGATGCTACCCTTCATGGTAGCACCGATCTATCTACACGTGGGAGAAGTGGTTAAGTTGTTGGGATTTTGCACTCTCATATCACTGACTCTCAGCAATCTCTGAGAATTGCAAAATACCTGGTATATTATTGGGTAACACACTAGTAATTGTACTGCTTGGCAGATGTGGAATAAGGTTTCACATGTAGCAATCTCATTTTTTGTTAAATCAGAATATAGGATTGTTTTCAGAACAGAAAGGTGTTCTCTGGTTCAAGGACTGATCAGGAAGCTGAAGCTTTCTCTGGGCCTTGGTTTACCTTCTGTAAATAAAGATAATTTTCTGATTTTATTGTCAATGAGGAAATGCTTCCACAGCATATTTTGAGTACTTACCTCAATGCAAGTGTGAGCATCACAGAAATACAAATTCAACTAACAAAAATTAGCTGCAGAACGTATCCAAAACCTGTTAAAGTCCATGGAAATACTCCCGCTGATCTTACCAGGGATCACCTTGCTGTGCTTTTAATATCTCTAGCTGGAACTTTACACTGACATTTTCATCCAGGACCTGCCATTGGCAAAGGCGCATTTAACCGGTTGTTACCGCTGGGTGTAAAAATTCATTGTAATGATTTTTTTTTTCCCTTTTTTTTGATTTTTCTTTTCCCCTTCCCGGGCAGGATTTATGTGGGCATCATTCCTGTGATACCCTGGGAATGGCAGACGTTGGGACCATCTGCTCCCCCGAGCGCAGCTGCGCGGTGATTGAAGACGACGGCCTCCACGCAGCTTTTACGGTGGCTCACGAAATTGGTATGCGGTGCCTTTTCTGTTCCCCTGCCAAGCCAAACACTCCCAACAGCTGCTTTAGGAACCAAAATACCCCGCAATTAATTCCAGATTTCCCCCGGCCCAGAGCCCCGCCTGGGGATTAGGGCTGTGTACATATGCACTTCAGGGTTAACTAATAAGGGATCAGAAGGCAGGGGAAGGCGCACAGTAGGTGTTTCCTCCCTGACAGTGGCCTTTCTAAGCAGCACTTGAAGTGAAAATTCAAAGGCTGCTGCTACTGCTCAGAGATGTCAATGCATGGCCCTCCTGAGAAAGCTTTTGGCCCATCTATTGTAATTTGCATGTGCTTATTTATTGGAAAATAAGTCACATTTTCAACTTGTTGCACCCGCTGCTGTTAGGAAGCTTTTTTCTTTATATTACCTGGAGAGAAAAGATTTTGTGGCAAAAGCCCAACATAATTCCAGTATCTTTGTAAATGTACAGAAATTCTGTTTAAATCCTCTAATAAGTTAAATAGTATTTAGGTGATAAAAGTTTGGTCACAAAACCTGTTTAGCTTTGTTTCAGTTTCCACCTCAGTGGACAGCAGTTAAATTAGGAGCTTTGCATGTACCCTTCAGAAGGGTTTAAGATAGAATTAGTGCCAGAAGAAAGTTTGTGTTCTGGGATACGGGTTATTACTTATTATATCATGATATAACCCTTCAAGAGAGATGCTGCCATCTTGATCATGTTTAATTTACTGATGTTTTGTGAACTGTGTTTACTGGAAATACATTTGCTATAAGATCTGTTCGCTTTGGGGAGTGAGCAGCAGTTTGAAAGTGGAAGAGTGTTCCTTTCTTTTTCTTTTTTTAAAAAAATACTCTTGGAAGGAAATAACAAGGAAAGGAGAACTTTCACAGAGAGCCAGCTGCTGAATTGCCTTGTACCTCGTGCCAAACCATAGTAACGTTTGCTTTGGGAGTATCATTGCAGTGGTTCCATTTTCAAGGAGCTTGCAGGTAGAGCCTGAGATCTGAGTGTCTTTTACATATGGCTGAGGAAACAGAGGTCACCAAGGATGGAAAATGACCTGACTCTTCAGTGACAAATGATCCTAACCCTGCTCCTCTTATAGCTCTGCAAAAGAATTGCATCACTATAAATGAGAAGGGCTCAGGCGTTGCATGAAAGCATCGAATACTGTGGCAGGATGAGTCCCCAAAGCAGAAATTTTGTTTTAGTAAACAGTGATGTTACAACAAAAGAAAAAGTCCTCTGGAATCACTAATTCAGTGCATTTAGAGAGAGCTACAGCAGTGTAGAAAGACAGATTCACATGGGATGTGGATGTAGATGCTGTGAATGAGCCATCACAAATCTGGGATATATTAAATGGGAAACTTAATCTGTCATTCAAAGCCAGAGTGCTTGGTGTCCCTTGCAGCCAGAAGTGATGTCTCTGCTGAGGGGCAGTGGGCAGGGTTGGGTGAGGAACCCTTTTCTTGATGGATCTGGTGTGTGAAGAGGAGAGCATTGTCTTTCCTGCCATTTCATCAGCAATAAATACATTTTTAGGTGGATTAAAAATGAAAGAACACAGATCAATAAAGATAGGGATGAGCAGCAAACGCTCACATTGTTACCTTGAATTCCACACAGAGAAAATATAAACAAAAGTGAATTATTTTTAGTGATCTAGAAGCACATTTTGGAGAAAGGCCATTTTCATACCTAGGCATTTGCAAGAATCTCTAAAAACTATAATTTTCAATGTAAAAAAGGCATGAATTGAAATGAATAAATAAGAAGTCTAATGGACTTAAAACCTCTAGTTTGAGGCTGTTTAAAATAACATCCTCTTTTTTTTTCCTCCTCACCAGAAGTTTTTAAGAAAGGAGGGGTGTCAAGTCACAGAATGATCTTTGTGTGTGTGGCCTGAAGTGGGAGAAGCTGAGAAGAAAACAGAGCTAAAATTGCTTGAGTACTTATATTAAATCAAAGGTCAAAAAAGGATGAAAAATAAAAGTGTGGCATCGATACCCTTTAGTTAAGCACTTTGGGGAAAACCTTGCTGTATTTTATTTGGAGACCAGATTTCCTCCTGCAGTCCAGAAATCTCCAAGTTCCCCCTGTCCTTTGGGCAGGGTGTAGCTTTAATTTTACAGTGGCTCAGTTCCTCAGTCAGAGGGAATGCTCTGAGCCCGAGATTTTTTTTCCTGTCAGTAGGAAGGTCAAGGTGAGCCACTGGCTGAAGCAGAGTCACTCTCAGTGGATTTTGTGCATGGGAGCAGATGCAGCATCTTTAGCATGGACTTGATCCTCACTGTGACTTCCAGGGGATCTGAATGCTCTTGCTTCCCCTCTGAAGGATCCAAGAGCATTTTCCAGGCTCAGAGTCTTTCTCTGGAAGGCAACCAAAGAAAATTGAACTGCAGCTCAACCCGACAGAGGAGGATGCACAGCCCAGGGGCTCAGGTTGGATTGGTGCACAGGAAGCCAAAAAGCAGCTTTGCTGCAGAACAAACCTGCTGCTTCTATTGCCAGGGTTTATGCCACATCATGTGGGAGATGTTTGTTTTATTTATTCCAGTTAAAATAGATGGATTTTTACCAGTGGTTTTTGAGGGGGGTAGAATGAACAAGCAGCAACAGGCAAACCATCCCCAGGCCTGTAAAGGAGAGCACAGGAAGGAATAGATGCAACCAAATTCTTGGTACAACTGATTAGCTGCCAATAAGAGGTGGAGATCTTTATATAAAGTTTGATAAGGTAGGACCTAAATTTTGTATGTAGGAAAATCAGTAATAGCTTGTCTCCAATGTCAAATGGAAAAAAATTAGGATAATGCAACAAAAAAAACAGAAAGAAACCTTCTAACTTTGAATGTGGTAAGCCAGTTTCTGCTCAGCATACAGGGGAGCAGTGCTGCCATAAATATTACTCTGAAATCACAGCCTGCCAAGACATCCAGCCACCAACAGTAAATCCATATCTGGTTATTTTCTAGCAGAGGACATGCTGCTGTCAGTTGGGACAGAAGTGCCTTCGTTTTCTCAAAAATAACACCCTTCTCAGGATTCTTTCCTGAACTCATCACCATGTTGTGGCATATGGATGCTTCTTTTTTACTTCTAGCAGCTCCTTCAACTACACCTCCACAGCTCTGTAGAGCTGTCTGAACTTAGGCACAGTATGTAGGCATTCTCCAAGCCTTTGTTATCAGCAGCCAGTTGTCTGCAAAAAAATGATATTTCCTTGCTTCGTGCACTTCCCTGCCTCTTGGGGACATGTGGAGGAGAGCATTAAAGAGCCTGAGATTGCTCATAATCTCAACAGTTATTTAATGTCTTTCATAGGGCAGCACTACATTGCTTCTCCATGTGTCCCTTATTAAAATAACCATCAGGAAGCAAAAATAATGAGATTTGCATTCTTAATACTCTGGACTTTTGGGTCAGAGATTTGTTACTTTGACAATGCTGAATTATAAACAAGTGAAGATCAGCATGATCTAGTATCAGCAACAAGCACAGTCAGTCGGCTGGAAATACATTTGACATATTTTGTGATGGGATGTCCCCATGTTTTGCAGCCTGGTGCTGTGTTTTGAGGTACAGTCATGGTCAGAAGTTTGTGCTGGAGTCCCACGGTGCTTTGGCACAACCATACCACACCCTAAACAGTTTGCCATCTATGAAAGAAAAATGAGAAGAGTTCAAGGGGATCTAAGTGGACCTACTGCTTGTTTTATCAATAGGAAATTTCCCCAAATCACAAAGGGAATCCCAAGGAAAGCCAAGAATTAAACCTGAATTTTGATTTAGAGTCTCATGAGTTTTGATCTGGTCCTCAAGTACAAAAGCAGCCTTCCTGCAGCCTTCAAGCAGACAAAGCTCCAGTTCAGCTCAGTGGGAGTTGCATGGGTCTAATATTTTAAATTATATTTATCTTTGTTCTTTCCATCAATCTTGAGAAACTTACTTTTTAAAAAAGAGGCAATACAGCCTTTTTTCCTCAGTGATAATGTCCATTTGACCTTTTGCAATGTTCCTACTCCTCTGTTACACAAAAACTCTGGCATGCAGTTACTCCTTCTGTCCTCCTGAGTAATACGGTTTACTGATGTTCTTTCCAAGTGTTTTATTTTTAGGCTATAGCTTTAGCATTGCTGCGTGGAGCTAATTATTTGTTCATTAGTTTCCTTTTATCTTTCACATGTGACTTTTGGGGAGGGAAGGCCAAAGGGTGGGATAAAAGCAGCCTTCAATTACATTTAAAAAATTGCTGCAAAAATTTGCATAATAAATCATTCCCCATGTCCACCTGGGACAGCATAAGGGGTAATGGCCTGAAATTGCAGCAGGGGAGATTTGCTTTAAGCATTGGCCAAAATCATCTGAGCAGGACAGTTGAGGGCAGGAGTGAGGTGCTTGGGGAGGCTCCAATTCTGGAGGTTCACAGGAGCCATCTGGCTAAAGCAGCTGTGGCTCAGGGGCTGCTGATCCTAGCCCAGGGCAGAGGCATGCACAGGATGCCCTTTCAAATCTCTGCTCAGCATCATCTTCTGTGGTAATGAGGAGTTATCACAACATCCTCCACAGCTGGGCTGTGTGATGCCTGAAACCAAGGTGCTGCACCGAAACTAAAACTAGAAAATCATGGAATGGTTTGTCTTGGAAGGGACCTTAAAAATGATCCAGTCACACCCCCTGCAATGGGCAAGTACACCTTCCACTATCCAGGTTGCTTCAAGTTGGCCTTGGACACTTGCAGGGATGGGGCAGGCACTGCTTTTCTGTGCCAGGGCCTCTCTGCCCTCACAGCCAAGAATTTTCTTCGTATTTTAAGTAACGAGTTTGATACCAGATCTTTTCCAGCATGGCATCATTCTGTGGCCTCTGTCACGATTGTGGACAAAAGTGTCATGAGCACCATTAGCAAAATGCATTAGAGAGCATAATTTTCTGTAAAAAAGCCATTTTAGAAGTGAAGTATTGCTCCTGGCTTCTCTGCTCAGGTGGTTCACTGAAAT